ATCGACGCAACATTAACCGTAATAACCAGTCCGGTTACATCTATGCAGGGTCTCCACTAAAATACCCTTTCCAGATATTTCTCAAAAATTTCTTCCAGGCCCACATGACCTCTAGCTTACTCGTTTACCTGACGCCAAAACTATAAACACATTTTTGGGGGGACGAAATGCCGATAAACCCTACAAATGTAAAATACCAGCATCGTGGTGTTAAATTTCCTGACTACGGAAGCAAATGTGAATTACATTTCTAGCCGCTAACTTCTCCCACTCGATGTACGAAATTATATTTTCTCTCCTTTGAGAACCACCCAGAATTACATCAGGTGTAATTTAATACTAGTTGAACGGTTTAAGGTGAAGTGAAACACCCTTCAAATCAGTCGATTCGAATACAACACTTTTTTTTAAGGGTATTAGACCAAACTGTCCGAAACTTTGACACATCACTCCTGATCATCTAAGAATTGTCCTGACAGATTCAAAATTTGGATTTTTCAAAAGAATTTTTTAACTCAGCCCAGACCAGAACCAAAATGGCGTCGATCTCTCATATTTCGATCAGTATATAATTATCGAAGGCTCTGATATGAGAATCAAAAGGTTCAGGGCAATTTTACGACAATTTAGAACACTTTGACAATCGATAAACTCACATTTGAACGGGATAAGGGCAAAAAAAGTGTTGTATACGCTTCTATGCTAAAACGATGGGAATACGAGGTCTCGGAGTGAAAATTTACTTGACCTGGAAATCACAGATGGCGCAGGGGGTCCCTCTGCAGTCAATTAGGGCCCCAGAAAGCACGAATCCAGAGGATTTCTAGAGTTTTACTTCCATTTCTTGATAATTATTGTACGAAAACGACAGGCGGAGTATGCCATTTGGTACAATACCCAATATAATTCGGTATAGCTGTCGATATAAAACCGAACGTCGGCAACGTAGGCATTTAGAAAAATCTTTATCGACGTGCTTCACTTCACCTTAATAACGGCGCAAGAAAACTCGAGTTTCCCAACGTAAACGCCGTTAGCAAATTTGCGGCTGTGGATCGATTAATAGATACAGTATCTAGATACACTTCGTGGCGAATTCGAGGGGATGTACTATCTTAATATGAAAAATACGATAATGGGATCAAGGGCAGGTTTAAAGTGAAGATGCAAGGGGGAAAGAAACGTTCAGGTTCTCGGAATGACTGGTGCATCGGAATAACGCGCCTTGCGGTAGCGGCAGATGCACCAACCTGTTTCTTGATCTCCGGTTCGCTATCCCCAGACTCCGACTTCGGATGCAGGTCGGTTCTGTCCTCCTCGCGATCCGTCAGGAAGTGCATTCCACTGACGACGCGTTCCGCTTTGACCACAGGCTCGCTCGTTTCCGAAAAGTCCTCCCTGCTGCGAGGTGAGTTGCAGATCTCGAAGGTAATGTCACTCGGTAAATTCGGCAGGCGACCTAGAACAGCAGGAAGACGGACAGGCGTTAATGCGCCTTGCGATGAATAATCTAAATCGAAGTATCGGTCTCTCCACGAGTAATGTTAATTTCTTCATACCGGAATATTCAGACCTCGGACGAACTCGCGCTGCAAAATGTTTTCGGCACGAAACCCAATCCAGTTTCTTGACGAGATCGAGAGAAAAATCATCAGCGAATTCCATTAGACCGGTGTTAATGATACACATTAATTTATTTTTCTAAGTGTTACCGTCTTAACTTACAGCTAGGAATGAAAAATTTTGCTAAGGTTCTTAGATACGACCTTTCAGCTCCCCGTTAACATATCAGGAAACGCTCCGTATCACTCCGCGCATTGGATATAATTATTGCACTTGACCGTTTCGTAACGATTCGATGCACTTGCACCCAGAGTCACAATTTCTAAACCTGTTGAAACACAATTCGGGAAAACATCCGGTGCTGAGAACTCTCGCATAATCCGATACTCGAGAAATTCGAGCAATGAACGCGCGTAACTGCAACGGCACTCCCTTGCATCTACTATATTTAATGTTTCTTGCATTTCCGAGCATCTCGCAGACGTACGCTTCTCCCTAAAAGAAGTTCTCGTTCGGTCGAGAACGCATTCTCTCGTGAAAAAATTCTAGGGAATATGCTCTCGTCTGCTTTGAAGCGGAGCGTGCAGGAGTACAATCGGCGTACGAATGTAGAAGATTCCGAGGACGTGGCCCCTCCCAGTGACGGGTGAATTATTACATAATTATCACCATAATTATATGATAACGTCCATTATGATATAATTATTCCCATAATTATATAATAATCTAATATTTGGTGAGTGATCATAATATTAACCGCGAAGGGTAAATCCGTTAGAGAAGACACGCTCGCTCGAGTAGAGACTATTGCAATGTATATCACAAAGAGTTACAAAGAAACTACAATTAGATAAAAACAAATAAAAATAATAATTATTTTTTTCGTATCGCCACCAGGCACCAAATATAGGTACATACGTACTTGCATACATGTAGAAGACGTTCGCCCGACGACAGCGGCGAACGACGCGACGTCGAACGCTGGTGTCGTGTACATTCAGCGTTACAGGTGCACCCCACTTTCTCGGGTGGACGTACAAGGTATAACATAATATATATATGTAGATATATAATATATATATAATATAATATATATAATATTTTCTCTTGCAACTCGCAGTATCTCTAATCTTTACTCGATAGACTCTTAGGAGTAGGGAGTAAGCGAATAATCCGTCAGCGCGTCACGTTGTCGCTGCTGTTGCCATTTCGTTGCTGCTGTCGATGCCTCGATGAAGGCGACGACGTTGACGATTTCACCGAGAGTCCCGAACGACACACCCTGGTCTATGTAAGTTCCTCTCTTTTCCGTCGGAAATTTATCTAAACCAGTGGCAAAAAGTCGGAGAAACGGTCCAAGGTGGTATGGATGCGAATTTCATTCGACCGAAATTACCGACCTCGAGGACCCGGCAAAATACCGGTACTTTTCGTGTACTCACGTTTCCTACTTTTCGAGAACTGGCTTAGTGTAACGGTAGTAAAATTACGTAAATGCAAGAGGTAACAAATAACGGAATTGCCGAATGCGCCATGAAACGTTTTGCTTTCTTCCAGAGCAATTAATTGTGCGTTCGTATCGGCTAGAAATGGCTCGTCGTTTGTATATAAGATTCCAATTGATTAGGCCAATTCAGCGGATCAATTAGTTAGAATATCTTTCAACTCGGCATTATCGTTTTCAACGACCACCTGAACTGCCAACGCAGAAAAGGTGACGTTTCAAGTCCTAAGTCCTACAATTAAATAGTAATATACATGTGCGCATCGTGATCGTTAACAGTTTCTCTAATAATTAAGCTTATTGCGCCGTGGCGCGCTAACTAAACGCCGTTGATCTACGGATCAGATGGATAAAGGGATTTCAACTTAATAATCAGTGTTCGGAACGCTAAAAACCAGAAATTAACCTTATCTGCGTTGCCTACACTAGAAAGGAACTGGTCAGCGAGTAAAAGGTGACGAACAGAAAGTTTGAGAAAAGATCTAGAGTTCAACGATCGAAGGGACGTCATTTTCTAAATACAACGGTGAATAACTATAATCGCATACAGGTTATGAGAAAGAAAACGTTTGCCATTCTCCTACGGGAGAAAAAAAAAAGTGGGCGTTAATTCGAAGCGGACTAAATAGCACTGAAAAAAATGTAATATTTTTTGTCAAAAGACCAACAGGGAAAAGTCATAACCAGAAAAGATATTTGACAAGTTTATAAAGACATCTCTATTTAACTAACACGTGTAAACTGATACCTAGATAAAATAAATCCCTAATCGACATTATTTGTCATTATTTTTACGTATCTCCAAATATCTTCGAAGCGAGCAAATGAAATTAGTTAACCCAGCTCGACATGAAATATTTCATAGGACGGGCTAAGTAATCCCTAAGCGTTAACATTCAGGTGTTGGCTCGCAAGCTTTTCCTACAGTTCTTATTGCTTATTTGTCAAAACAGCGACTTCCATGTATCTCATTTGCATCATGTCCGTCACTTCCCTCTTTTTTCCCGCTGATACTCCAACACCAAAAATAAACGAATCAACAACATATCTCTTATATCTCTCTACAAGCTTTTAGAAAAAGAAGAAAACAAAAAAAAAGACAACAACGAGTGCCTACTCTAATCTCCCAACTGGATTGCCTTAACCTCAGTGTGCATTCGTGCAGTTATTTGCGGCGTCTTAACTTTTAGCTTGTCGATACTAATTATTAACTTGTCGGCCATCAAGATAGCGTAATATTAATGGATAATAATAACAACAATAAAGGTAATAATCAAGATGGTAATGATAGCGATAATAATGGCGGTGATGGCAATGATATCGAGGACAACGACCGAGCCGAAAATGACGAGCTTAACGATACGAAATTCACCAGCGGCGACAGCAGCAACGGTTACTATAATAACGGTGATAGCAACGATAGCATAAGTAGTAGTGCTAGCAACAACAGCTGTAATAGTAAATCTTAACAACTAGTATGCATATAATACATTTTGCAAAATCGTCGCGCAGCATCGACGCTGCCGAGCAGCGGCTCGAGTGCTGGGTTTCGTTAAGCATTGTGTCCATGTCCTTCACCCTTAGATTGTACGATATATTACCAATCTGTTATTGCGACCGATCTCGCGACAATTTCGTCGGATCGCATAATACACTTAAAAGAAAGGCTAGGCCACTTCTATGAAACCATACCCGATGTTTCAACGTGTCGATAGGCCGTCTCGTCGTTCCACGAACTAGCTGTTAAGTGAAAAAGAAAATCTCTATACAGCACATTGTATGGCGCTCACGTGTGCGCATCGCAAACGCATATGCATGTATATATATATATCGTTCGGTCGAGAACGCATTCTCTCGTGAAAAAATTCTAGGGAATATGCTCTCGTCTGCTTTGAAGCGGAGCGTGCAGGAGTACAATCGGCGTACGAATNTTGTTAAATATACGTTTATCTCATTAATATAAAATAGAGTCGTCTTTGTGTTTCAATAACGTATCTCACGGTAACAGCTGAGTTGTCCCGTAAAAACGAAGTTTCACCGAGACGAGAGTGTCATACGTGTATATACGTAGAATAAACATAAGAAGGAAAGAACGAGGGCGAACGAGGAGGCTGAAGTGGAATTAGGAAGCAAAGGAAAAATAAGAAATAAAGGATAAGTTGTTAATAAAATAAAAAGGGATTATGCATAGTGCAACGATAACGAGCATCGGCAGCGTCGCCTCGACCACCTCGACGCGATTCTGATCTTGCAGTTCTTCTAAAGCATACTTCGTACTATTGGAGAGAGCATAGCCTATCCAAAACTACCCACGATAAAAATGCAGAACGAATAAACAATTTCGCGACGGACGGCGCTAACATTTTCCGTAATTTTCTCCCCCTTGATAAGATAAACGGTGCAGTAAAAATCTCAGAAAACTTAAATGTCGCATTGCACGTATGATTTTTTCCCGTCAAAACTGTAAACCCACTACGTCATCGCCATTTTAAAGGAAAATATAAGAAATCGTGGTAAAATAAAGGCTAACGGACGTCTCTAGAAATATGCCTATAAGACGCGTTTAATCAAGCTCCGATTCCAGTTAACGTCGAAATAGATTGCGTTAAATACTACGATAACATCCATTGCCAATTACACCTCTCACGCGGACGCTGCACATTTACCGCCCGCGCTCACCCCTTACCGATGAAAATAGTGTCCAAAACTCAACCATCTAAGATATCACCCAAAATATCGTCCCATACCGATTTCCATTAATACGGGGATTTTAAAACGTGCAAGTTATATTTTGACCTCTTGCGCTCTCTTCAACGGAATACGTAAATCTTAAAATCTAAGCGATCTATGAAACCGTCCGTGATGGACCGATTAGTTTCGGAACGGAGGGTTTGAGGGCTTAAAAGTTCCGAAAGGTGGGTTCGACAACGTTAGAAGGGAAGAAGCGAAGCGATCAGCCGTGATTAACATTGGAAATGACGCAGCGATAAACATCGGGCTCGGGAGGAGCGACGGGGGCGAAGGTGTAGGCAAAGGTGATGGCACGTAACTCACTGAAGTCTCTCCCGAGAGCGTTTGGTCGGCGGGTATTCCGCGGTACAGCAGCCCTGCACCAAACGACCCGAAATCGACGATCGGAGTCAGAGCCAGAGCCAGAGCCGCGGAGGGTTTGACTAGACGGGATGTGGGAACCGTGAGAAGAAGCAAAAGGGGCGCAGCGGCGTAGGGGCGAGCACCAAGAAGTGGTCGAGACAATGTTGGCGGAGCGGTGACGGCGTTAATACTGCGCGGACCATCGGTAGCTCGAGCACCGCCTCGGTGGAAAGTACGGAGCTACCGGCAGTCTTCACGAAGCGCGTCCGCCCGCCTCTCGGGACGCGTCGGGGCCGGGGGAATCGGGGGACGGGACGCGAGGGGAGTCGGCGGGGTCCGCTAAGGCGGCAGGTAGAACCCGAAGGGCATGACGCAGTCCTTGGGCATGAAGCAATCGTGGACCGTCTTCATGTGGTTCTTCATCTTGTCGGGCCGGGAGAACTCCTTGCCGCAGACGGGGCACGGGAAGACCTTCCTCTGGTGGCCCTCGTGGTAGAGGAAAGCGTGTCGCTGGAAGGAATACTTGTTCTTGAAGGTCTTCTGGATGTCCAGCTTGGCGCACTCGGTGCACTGGTAGACCCCCTCGGAGATCGAGGCGTAGCGAAAGAGGTTGAGTCCGCGCACCGACATCTCGGTCAACTGTTCCGCCGGGTCCTGCGATTGCGAGGTCGCGCGTCTACGCATGCGCCGCTTCGGCACTTGCCGCCCGGTGGGCGCGGACATGGCGCCGGGCCCGGCGCCCCCCGACGCCCCCGACGCCCCCGACGAGTGCGACCCTCTGCCGGCCTGTCCTCCGCCCCCCGCGGCGCTGGTCTTCGCCGCCGTCGCGGCCGTCGGGGTCGTCGCGCCGCTCCCCGCCGCCAGGCCCGACGCCGTCGTGCCGGCCAGCGCCGTCGCGGGGCTCGTCGTTGGCGTCGTCGAGACCTTCGAGGATGACTCCGAGCGGGAGTGCGGCGTCGTGGGCGTCGTCGTCGGGGTAGAACTCGAGCCTTTCCCCTTTTCCTTCCACGTGTCCATCTCCGACTTGCCGCACGAGCCGGTGAATTCTGCGAAAAGAGCATTCGTGCGTTAGGCCTCGGTCGAGTTTGCCAAGTATCTGTAATGGCCAGTGAATACTCGAATCGTTGAATGGACAGTGGTAGGCAATTTTTGGACCCGTTGCGTTATTGTCACGGTATCGATACGTTTCGGGCAATGCGACGAGTTAGGCAATGTGCGCAACGCCCGAAAATTACGATCGAGGGTTGCGCATATTCCTCGGTTTGTCAGATTGCCCGTAACAAGTGTAAGGGCAATTTGTCATTTCTTGTTGGTACGTCACTTTGATATCGTCGAAGCGACGTTTTAGCAGAGGTAGGGTGAGAGATCGAAAATCACTGCCCATCCAGAATGAATTCTTCACGACTTAAAGAATGGATTTGTCAACAATTTTGGAGCATTCTTCGCTCGAAACGTAGCTCCGAGGACTAAAAACGTTACCCGGTGTTATTGGCTATCGTTATTGGTCCGAGCATAACATTGCAGTTTACTTTCAACTACTGTGTACTGCAACGTTTTATCCCGAGTTTTCAAAGAATAAAAGTACTCGGAATCTTGTTATAGCCAGCAAAGATGGGAAAATTGACCGCATAAATTGACAATTTGTTGACGGTATCAAATACATAGAGACGGGAACGCGCCTTAAACTCAACAATTAATTCAAGTACTTTTATCTTTAAATCATCGTTACTTTTTGTTAGAAACCAATGCGTACGCTTCGATGCAACACTGAAATCGTTTAATTCCTTGTAACCAAATTTTCATCCGTTCAAAATTGACCGAATTCTCATCTTGAAGTGGTTCAAGTGTACGCTCGAAACGTACGAACAAGCTTCCATCTATTAACAAAACGGTGCAAAAATGCAAGAATAATGTTCAAACTAATTCAGCGAATCATGCGACCAAAATAATTATACTCAACTTCGAATACATGTACGTATTTTCTACGGGGATCTTAAGAATGCAACTGTGAGTAACGCGAGTTTACAAGATTATTAATAATTCGTGATACCTGAAGTACGATATTCTCGTAACTAGGTATCGCCGGGATGTTAAAAAATACAGATAGAAAAATTCATTCGATATAATTCACCGATAAGAAAGGATTTAGCTATTAATTAAATTCACGTTTATTTTGGTTGTCCCGAATAACATTTTGTTATAACGAATTTTCGCAATGTCAAGAATATATCAGTGCTTGATTTCGTGAAATAAACTCTCAGTTGCTTCTTCGTTAAAGGTTAGGTCTTGATGATATCACGTCGATACCGATAATACCGATCGACGCAAGTGCGGGGCATGCGAAATAAAAACGTAATCATAAACGCGGTGCGATATTTCTTTTCTACTTTAGCTATTAACTGTCAACATCGAGTGTATACAATACTGTACATCTAAGAACTTAAAAGTCGACGTAGCTAACATCGATGCACTTTTCAAGAAATTGAACTTGTACGTGAAAAACGAAGCTAAATCAAATTAAATTGTTTACAAGTATCAGGGTGCTTTGGGCAGGACAAAACGAGATAACGCGTAAGAAATGAAAGCACAAGGAAACTGATCCTTAAATATTCAGGATTCGCGCCTCAGTTCCTCAGTTCTTGATTCGTTATCGTTATATCTTCGTTCCCGTTTCGTCCGCACAACACCAAATTCAAAGACAGCGTAACTCAAAGTAACGAAAGAAACAAACGTCAATACGACTGTTAGTATGGTAGTTACCTTTCCCTCGGGTCAATGCGATTAGTTGGGAGACTCCTTCGTTAAATGTTAGTCTCGATGGACGATGAGAACGGTCAGTTTAGAATTCGGCAACTATACTCTAAACCGTCCGTAAAGATAAGGCCGCACAAAGTGTATAAATGAAGCGCTGTCAATTAGTACGACGAGAATACCACAACCACAAACTCTTCTCTTTTAACATGTCAAAATGTCCCCCCTCGTTTTACCGACATTCAATTAACATTTGTATAAACTACGTGTAATCAATCAGCGCATATTCTGCTTGAACAATTTAAATAGCATTATTCCTCAGAAGAACCACTTTTTAAACATTTCGTTCAATAAATTACAATGCATTATGACGCTCGCAAGACAAGCATGAATTCATGGTATAAAAAATGCAATACCACTTTGAATCATCCGTCACACATCGAAGGGAAAAAATAAATTCGATTTTTACTAATACGCGAGTCCGCGGACAAAATATTCTTTCCCTGGAATTTCCATGGATTAAAAAGCGAACTTGAGAAAATCATCACGCGTGAACCCGAAATGTTGTTATTCGGTAGGAAAAAGATAAGTGGTAGGACAGTTTCATGCATTTCGAAAGAGTACGAGTGCGGAATTTGCAACGGATGCCGTAATTCTCCGCCATTAATAACCGGAGTAAAACACACATAATTACAATCTATTGAACACCGTTCTTTTATTATCGATAGTCATAATCAAACAATCAGTGCATATAAAATATACTAAGTCTACCCAGCGTCAGAAAAGACTCTTCTCTAAAAGTTTCCTATAAAATTTTATGTCAAGGTCTCACTTATTTGGCACTAGACTGCGAGCGGGCACACAAGCGTAGCCCGGTCGCGTTTTATAACAATTTCTTCTTTTTAAAAAGGCACCAAACCGGGGATTTATTCTGCTACAATTGGATCCCACCGACGTATGTAATTTAAACCGTATAAAATTAAAAGTCAAAACCTCCTCGTTTTTCTGACGCGACTTCAAACTGCAACGACTCGTTATAGGTATCATCAACTAGCGCTAAAATATGTTCAATATAACGTTTTTGTCACTATATAACTATGGTAATAATATTGATCGTGACGATGAGCGATGGGGGACGATCGTGGTGACGATGACGATGGTAAATGGTAATGGTAGTAGTAATGGTAGTAGTAGCGGTAATAATCATAATAATAATTGTAACCATATCGTATAACGTAACATAATATGATATCGTATAACGTGTACTTCCGCGCGCATGCGTGCGCGCGCACGCTCGTATCCATGCACCCGCGGGTGATACATTACGCGTCGGATGCGCGCGCCCCACACGCGCCGGCGTGTCGTCCGTGTGATAATAAACTATACTTTTTAATATATANGTAGTCTTGTAAAATTTGAAGTTTGGTAGTGTGTACATAAATTTCATGAAATTTTCGTGGATTTTTTATAGAGTCAGTTTATTTATTTTTTTTTTTGTTTCCTTAGGTTACACACCCAATCCTCCCGGCGTAAACCGCGGCCCACGGTCTCTCTCGCGATCCCCGAACGTCCGCGATGAGCGCGACGAGTGCGCTCGCATTTCGCGATATCGCGAAATAGGAGCGAGCCTTCGTCCGGGTGCTCGTTCAGAACGAGCGCGTCCCGTCGACGATCTGCTTCCTCTCTCCTTAACCGTTTTTTCCCCCATATCCTCCAGGTATTCGTCGATTTGAATTTTCTCGAGCGCCACGCTACGGAACGAGGAGCGGAATTACAAACCGAAAGAGCGAATCGCGAGGACTAAAAACGTATTCCAAGAAAGCGGCTCGGAGCCGCCGTGCCATTCGGGTACGCGGACGATTACGAATTTTCCGGGTGCCGAAAGTCGCGCGGAATCGAACGCGCGCGTTCCTATTAAGGGCGCGTTTCTCGCCGCGGATGTCGCCGGTACGTCCGCGCGACGTCGCAAGAGAGATCGCAGCGGTGGCGATCGATCAACAACGACGATGCCCTACGGAACAAGTCACTCGCTCGACTCGTGCGCATCTCGCGCGAGCCGAGGAAAGAAGAAAATTGCCGTGCTCGCCCCGTTCCTTCCTCTCTCTTTCTCTCTGACTCTCTCCACCCATTCATTCTCGTCGTTCCCCTGCCCCACCCGCGTCGCCGTCCTCCTCCCTCTCGGCCGAAAATCGCGTTCTCTCCCTCCCTCTCACACGCACTCGCTCTCACACACGCGGGCGCGCACGCACACACTCGGCGTTCTCCTTCAAGTCTTGCTTTCTAAAGTGTTAGTCTTAGCCTCTCAGTGATTATCAAATGTTTAATCGATAAGCTGTCTAACCGCTGCCACGTTGCAGTTTGTAAATTGTAATAGTTGCCCCTTAACGGCGTGCCGCGACTCGGGCATCGGAGGAGCGCCATAACACGTCCGCGTCCGTTCCCGTCCAAGCGCGGCCGCGTTCGCTAGGTCGTAGGGTGCGCGTCTCGCCCATGTTCTCTTTCCGGCTGTTTTTCCGGCTCTCCAGGCCGGGTGTCGGTCCCTCTTCCTCTCTCTGCCCCTTTTCCGCCGACCTCGATGTCGACCCGCGGCGCTCACCCGGGGTGCCGACCTACGGTCCTCTCGGCCCCGCCAACCCGACTTTCCGTCTACTCGCTCGTGTCTACTCGCCTATTCGCCTACCTAACTTCGCCTATTCGTCTAACCGTACAACTAGCTACGTAATTAGGATACACGTATGTACAAGACGGTGCGCAACGGGTGCCTCCCGGTTCGCGAGGTGGCCGCGGGGCGCGTGCGCGTCGCACTAAATTAAAGTATTTGTATGTAGATTCGATAATAGCCTCTAGTCGTGTCTAAGGTCTATGCCCAAATAGTGGAAAAGAGCCGCGTGCGCGAGCGCGTTCTTCCCACGTCCGGCCCCCTCGGCGGAGGGGGCGGAACGGAACGCGACGGTACGGAGAGGGTAGAGAAGGTGCCAAGTGCAAAATAGTAAACTAAGCGATATATCGGTACGGTGTGCCCGTTTTCCGTAACTAAGCTCGTACACCGTCGCCGAAGAGCCGCGGTCCCGGCTCGGCTCGACGAGTTTAAGTTACTACTAATGTGCCTTCAGTCTATCCAATGTCAGTACTATCTTGTATTTGGTGTCGTTAACCGTCCCTCTGCAGTCTTTCGATATAATTGCGTATTTGCATCCACCGTCCCACCGAGCGGACGAGCCTAGTGGACCGTCGCTGCGCGTCGCGGCTCGGTGAAACGCAATATATAACTTAACGGTTCAACAACATGGCGAAC